AGTTGACGAAGTCAGCTAGGCAGTATGGGCTGGCTGTGAAGCTAGAACTCTCGTGCACCAGGTGCGACCTCCGCGAGGCCCGTTTTTCATCGCCGAGGGTCGAAGGAGCAGCGAACATCACGCCTTTTGAAGTGAACCTGAGGGCCCTGAAGGGCATCCAATCCATTGGGAAAGGTGTGACTGCACTTTCGGATTTCTGAGCCTGGATGAACCTGTCACACAGGGGCCTCCACCACAAGACGTTCCAGGGGCACCTGCGCAAGGTGGTTCGTGTGTGCGAGTCCATTGCGGCAGCATCTGAAGCTGCAAGTGTTGAGGTCGTCAAGGAGCTCTACAGCGACGTTCTGCAACCTGTCAACAACATTGACGTCATCTTCGACGGCACATGGATGACCCGGGGGCAATCTTCCCACATTGGAGTGGGGTGCATTATTGAAATGTACACAGGCCTGGTGATCGACCACGTCGTCCTTTCTAACTTTTGCCTCGGCTGTTCCGTCGGACCCAAGGCTTCTGAGGAGGGCTACGCCGAGTGGCTTGCAGAGCACGAGTGCCAAAAGAACGTTGACTGCAGTGCCGGACGCATGGAGATGGAGGCAGCACTTGTGATGTTCAGGCACTCGCTTTCAAGACATGGGCTGCGCTACACGACCGTGCTCTCCGACGGAGACAGCCGCACCTTTCATGCACTCACTGAAGAGAAGGTGTATGGTTTTGTGCCCATAGAAAAGAAGGACTGCCTCAACCACGTCCACAAACGAATGGGTGCTGCTCTGCGCATCGTGGTTGAAAAGAGAAAAGCACAGGGTGAGGCACTTGGTGGAAGAGGCAAGCTCCCCCAAGACAAAATCAAGAAGATAACACAATCCGAAGCCACAGCCACGATGTGCCCGAGATGAAGAAGGCTGCGCAAGCGACCCTCCGGCACATGTGCTCGACGGATGGTGCCCCTGACCACAGCCTCTGCCCCAGTGGAGCAAGTTCCTGGTGCAAAGTACAATCGTGCCCAAGCAAACAATGAAGTGCCACCAGCACACAAGGCTCCGCTGCCTGATGCGGTTCGAGCAGCACTAGAACCAGTGTTTGCTCGGCTAAGTGACGAGAACTTGCTGGAACGGTGTTCCGACGGGAAAACTCAGAATGCGAGTGAGTGTCTACACTCTGTCATCTGGGCGCAGACGTTTAAGAACAGCCACGCATCACTGCTCAGCGTGACCAGAGCTGTTGCCGAAGCTGTAGCAGTCTTCAACCAAAGCAGGAGGGAGACCAACGAGAGTGTAGCTTCTGGGCTGAGCTACGCTTCTGGCAACTGCCTCACTCGACGAAGCCTGGAGAAAGACCAGCAACAGCTCCTGAAGTCAAACAAGGTGTTCTCGGACAGCCAAGCCACAAGGAAGAAGCTCTCCAAACGGCACAGGTTGGAGAAGTCCGACGACTATAGCCCGGGACAGCTTTGAACCTAGACAACGCGCGGCGTTGAGCAAAAAACTGCTGTTCTTGGAGCCAATCATTTTTTTTTTATGGAATTATATCCTCACTGAGCGCACGTCAGCTCCCGTTGTCTCCAAGCTTATCAAGGTTACTTTCATACTATTGCTACAGGCTCTTGTTTCAATATTCAAATGCTCTATCAAGAAAAGAAAATTTAAAAAATTAGTGGATTATGGAACCTGGAGAGTCGTCTTGCGTAACTTGCAATATCTTCAGTTTCAAAAGACATACCTAAAAATGACCTACAGATACGAAAGCAGAAAGAACAGATGCACATGTGAGGGAAATATTGTTGCAGTATTAGTGATAGTGTTTATATCATCAACTGTCAAACTTCAAACGCGATTTTCTCAGCTTCGTTTTTTTTACCACCTTCCGAAGGCTTCCGCAACTTTTCGCCAAGTTCTTCTTGTCCGATCATCAAAACTTCTCTATTCTCTTATTCGCATGTGGCTTAGCTGCAGGCTGACATTCTTCTTTTTTGATAAGCCTCAGGCATAAATTATAATTGGCTAATTAGATTACATTATTTCGGTTCAAAATTTTGTAACATTTTGTTGACATATCTCAATAAGATAATGTCATTTTAGAAAAAAAACGAGAATGTCAAGCGCTTCAGCAGCTCTTTGGCGATCACTTCATTTCATTAAAGTAGCAGAATGAGTTGAGAAAGTTGATTAAAGTTGCATACGATATTGCCATAATAAGTTTCATATTATCCAGTAAAACTTTTTTCCTATAAACAGTAGTTCTAATCTGAGTGCATATTTGGAGTCTGTATAGGAAAACACACTAGCATGCAAAGTTTGGTGGCATTCTGACCAGAAATAAAAAAAAAAATTGTTTTAAGACCCTAGTGCCCCCGTCTATCCTGCGGCTTCTTGATGCCGTGTTCCAATAAAGTTGTTTCTCTCTCTCTCGCTCTGCGGTTGGCCTCCATAGAGAACATTGGTGCAGCAGACGAGTTCTTTTTTGAGGACAGCTTCCTAGAGGATGGAGCGCCAGGCATCGACAACGTGGAGACCGAGTTTCTTGTGTATCTGTCAGGGTACATCACTCATAGCGCGAGCAAAAAATACCAGCTTTGTGACTTGTGCAAGGAGTTCCTTCGTAGTGACCCGGTGGAGCATAGTGACATCCTTTTGAGCATTAAGTCCTATCGATCTCAGTCTTAGCCAAATCCCCTGGTCCGTCCATCACGCCATGTGTTCAACCTGCTGCCGCATGCGGACAAGGTGTTCCGCAGTTGTGAGCACAAAGTGGTGAACATTTCACTTGCCTCCCTGATAAAAGCGACTTTGGAATCCCATCAACTTCCAGATGACTTTCCTCGCTGCCATGATCTGGAGAAGCATCTGACCACAGCTTTGTTGATGCTCCGATTGCGGATCACCCTCCGAAAGCTAAGCAGCAAGGCGAAGGCCGTCAAGTCAAAATGTGGGTCAAAAAGTGTTGGAATGAGAGCAGCTCTAACCCGCTGAGCATTGTGGTACTGAGGCTTAGAATTGTTCGTAGTAACATACGAGCTGTATTAACGCTATTGTGATGACTCGTAAAATTATCTGCGACCTTACAATTTTAGCGAAAAAGTTAAAAGCACATATTTACGACCGCTTGTTACATACAAGCGGGGCCTTAAAAACAATGTCCAATTGTCGTCTTCTAGGAGCTGGATTGAAAACCTTTTGTGTGAATCTATATCATGCAGAAGGTGGAAAAGGATTGTTTTGTTTTTCAAGAATCGTCATATTTAGCTCGTCTGAGCTCGATAACTCTCAAACGGTTTTTATATTAATGTATCCCATTTGTGTTTAAGTATAATGTATGGCTTTACAAGCTTAGTTCCAAGCACAGGAGGTTGAATAGCTATAGTTTGTGTGTCTGATGTTCAGTTCGCCAGAGATTGAACTTTGCTTTTTTTTTTTTCTTTTTTTTTGCTTTTGTCGGTGAACCTGTATTACGTTCTCATGATCCTGACAATCTTGTTAAACGTCTTTAAGCAGTTTCACAAAATTGAGTCACCGGAGGGCTATGCATTGCTTCGAGTTGTTTTATCTGTCCTGAATTGCTGCCAGCTGGCCACAAGGTAAAATAGTGTTAACTACAACAGATGTTGGGTTTTCTCTCGGCAAAAACTGTGTATATTTAGTTTGCCAATGCCGTTACTCATATTGCGTTCATGTGCGACAGTGGTATTTCTGTAGATGATTCTCACATTGTTATGTATGTACGGTTAGAAATCTTGCTGAGGTGTAAATAAAGCATTTTGTTCCTTTCGTCTTCTCAGAATTTGTAACTAACTTTTTTTTTGTACAAAAATATTGTCTAGCAGTGGTAGTGACTCATTTGTAATTCCCGAGGTGGGAATTCCCAGCTCTTGAGCTCATTTTGCAAACTTTCAGCGACTTCTAAAACAAACATAACAATTTTAGTCTGCTGATCAAGTGAAAACAGTTTGTATCAGGGATGAAAGGCGGAATTTTTGCGTGTCTCTGAACTGCGCTACTTTTTCAGTTGTTCGTGAGATGCGCGAAAATTATGACCTCGTAAACCTTAACTGTCAAAAGTAAATACGCGAGTCAGCAGCTTTGCAGTGGTCTAACATGTTTCGCTGTCTACCCAGGGAGAATGACCCCCATGAGTCTAATCAGGTAGTAAGCGCGCCTTGCTTCGAACACTACCCAACAGAAAGAATCGACATACTACTGTCCGCAAAACTTGCCGTACTGACAAATAAAAATGAAGTTGAGATCCCTCTGGAATACTTCGAAGGATTCCATCATTCATTGCCAGTTGGGAAGATAACTATTCCCGCGGCAGAGTTAGCATTTTTCTTTTTGAACCTAACTATCAAAAATACAGTAATAATACTTTGACTAGAATTAACCAGCAGAAAACAAATATAACACTGGTTTCCGCTAGCATCGGGAGCGTGTATGAGGTTTGCCCTTGCCCCGTTTACGCACGAGAGAAACCGAAACTAAGTTTGTGAGATTCGATGTCATCTGGCAACATTGGTCTCACGCCCCAAGATGGCTGCCGCTGCTCCACAGTGTCGGTACTCTTAAGCGTAGCTTGTTTAGTGACTCTAGCACCAACAAGTTCTGGAAAGTGCGCCCACTCATCGACAAAGTGAAGCGCGACTGCTTGGAACTTGACGTGCTTGAACACTCGAGTGTGGACGAGCAGATGATTCCATTTACGGGAAAAGTTGCCGCAAAGCAGGTCATAAAGTCCAAGCCAAATACGGAAGATGTGAATGTGTTTGTACGTTGCAATTATGACGGACTTGCCCATGATTTGGAGATTTATCAGGGCAAAGGCACAGGTGTTGACACCACTCATGATCACCTAGGGCTAGGGGTGACAGTTGTAATGAGGCTCTCCGAAGCAAAGCCGAAGCACAAAAACCTAAACTTTTTTTCGACAACTACTTCACGTCGATCAGTCTCCGAGAACTGGAAGCGCAGGGCATCCTTGCTGTAGGGACAATCAGGGCTAACTGCCTCATGGGTTGCAGCTTGAAGTCTGAAAAGGAGCTGAAGAAAGAGGGAAGAGGAGGCATGGACATGAAAGTCATCAAAAAAGCTGATGTCGTGCTGGTAAGTGGCTCAACAATGGTGTTGTCAACATTGCCTCAACCCAGGTCGGCGCTGGTGAAGTTGGTGTGGCTAAAAGTTGGAGTGTAGCTGCCAAGGAGAGGATTGATATCCTCTGCCCGGAGGTAATCTTGTACTACAGCCAATTCATGGGAGTCGTGGACAAACTTGATTTTGTCATGACACTTTCCCCCATGCGTGTTAAAACCAGAAAGTGGACCGTGAGAGTCCTGTCACACTTTGTGTCGTTAGCCCTCGCAAATTTGTGGCTCGAGTATGTGCGGGACGTGAGCAACAAGGGCCTCACACGAAGCAAGACACACGACATGATGTCTTTTCAGATTGAAGTGGCACTGAGCCTCATCAAGCAGAACCAAGAAGTGCAAAAAAAATGAGGCCGGCCAAGCGCTGAGTCCCGAGCACCAGCCCGACAAGCTCACAACGCACGACCATCGCCACCAAATGCTGTGAGGTATGATGGGAAAGACTGCTAGCCCAAGCAGGTTGAGGCCCCATTCTCTCAGGGATGCAGGTATGATAAGTGTTCCTCCAAGACCAGAGTGTGGTGCCGCAAGTGCGATGTCTTTCTCTGCATCAGTTCCAAAAATGACTTTTTACTCTACCACAACCGATGATGTCACTTTTGATGCCTAAGCACTGCATGCAACACATGTTTTTGAGTAATTGAATAAATCTTTTAGGGGCAAAGCTCCTTAGGGTCTAGCCTTGTCCATCCGTCCGTCTGTCGGGCATCCGTGCTCACATAAAAAGAAAAAATGTTTGCGCAGTCGACAGGATTTTAACTTATGCGGGGAGACCTCAATGGATTTCTAGTACATCGCCTTAACCACTCGGCCACGACCGCGGTACGAGTAGGGCGCTCTGGGGTTTCTGTCATGCATGTAACGTTGCATGTAGCCGCTCAACATCTAAACAGGAGAGGGCACTGTGGTCAAATGCGTATATAACCACGTTCCATATTAGACATTCTCTTTCTGACATGGACCGTTGACTTAAGCAGTGGAGATGCATTCCCACGGCTTCTAGCGGATCCAAGCTGATCCGCTAGAAGAACCACTGGGTCTGCATTTCACCGACCATAAAGCAGTAATAATGAAGTCGAAACGCAATCCGGAACTCAGCACTACCTATGAGCAATAAAAAAAAATCAGCACCATCAGCACTACCTATGAACAATAAAATCAGTATCATCAGCACCACCAGAGTTTAGCCCATAAAGGCTCGAGTCACACTGTGTACATATGAGCATGCATTCTCAGTTAATTACAATTAATCAGAAAGAGCTCGAGCTTGTGTATTTGAAGTCATGAGGCTAGAATAATGAACTTCTGTAAAGATAAAATAATTTTTGAACTACAATCTAGAAATTCATGACCGAAAGGGTTAGGGTCTTGTGCGCAACGTCAGTAGCCACCTGGCTTCCGACCAGAGCGTGCCTTATCGTGGCCAAGGGAGGCGGCCATCTTGGTTGTCTACTCTCGCCACTTTTCCGCCCACGTCTCTCCCGTTCGAAATGGCATACGGAACTTCCCTCTGGCAGGCTCGCCCGCCTCCCGGGGACATGGCTGGAGCCACCAGCGAGGGTCCTCAAGCCCCAACCTCAGAAAACTATTCTGCGAGACTTGAAACTGTTCAGACATGTGGCCCCGCGTTCTGCTGACCCACCTCGGACCAGGCTCTTAGGAAAGTATGGCTAGGTAAGAACCCGCTCCTACTTGTCGTTACTAGTCTTATTGTGTCTGTATTTAACCGGAGCCAATAAACCACCAAGTGTCTGCTATTCTGCATGTTCGTGCACTCCCTTCGTGAGTTCCATATAGCGGGTGCAGCCAGCAGTCAAACACGTCGTAGCGGTGACCCTGATCCACTGCGAGATGGCGGTTTCTCGGTCAGCCTCCTATCCCGATGCCTTATGCCCCTTTGAGACCTCCACAACATGGATGTCCCTCTTCCAGGTTTTATCACCTGAAAAGCTAGAAGGAACTCTTGGTAACCTGGGTGCTCATTCCGCGCTTCAAGGCGGCAGTCATTGACCCCACAAGGCTCTCGTAGAGCAACTGACGAACGAGCCGAGTCGTTCTTGCTACAAAGGCGCACGTACAACTAGTACATCGTCCACTGAAAAAACTGGCACGGATCTCTCCATCAGCTACAACTACAGCTTCGCAACGCCGACGTCGTCAAGCTCCGGGTGCAGCCACGTAGCTTTGCACTTTCTCTGGGACGCAGAAAACTTTTCCACTGCCTCGCTGAAGAAGCACGATGCAAAGCGTCGGGCACTAGTGTGCTACAACATGGCGCTCCCATTTGGTGCCCCAAATAAGAGGTCGTTTGGCATGGCAGCTGATATCTTCACAAAGAAACGAAAAAAGACGACGGATGCGACTGCCGAGAGCCAGTTGGTGCTCAAGATCTACAAAACGCGACTTAAGCAGACAATTTTATTGCAAGAAGCAACAAGTCATTTAGCGAGTTTTTAATTTGCTGACTAGGACTGAAGAACAAACAAAGCTCCAGTGTTCCTTTCCTAATTTCAAGAAAACGCAGTAGAAAATTCCTAGTGGCAAGTTATATTGCTTTTGAGTAAAAAAAAGAATAATAGCGTAAGAACATGTATTGCATAAAAACTACTTTGACAAAAGAACTAACAAGGTCAAGCTGTGTTGTTAATAACGAGCTTGAGAAGAAGCTTGGAGAAGACGGCCTTAATAAGCTTGCAAAGTGAGGCCCCTCGTCGCTGCCCCGAATGAAAGGTTTTTTGTGAATTATGCACCGTCAACGCATTACTCCATTGATGAAAGCATGATACCACTCAAAGGATGGTCTTCTAATGCCCTTGTCCTGGCCCATGCATGAATTACGTGTGCTATAGTCACAGCTACCTGTCCTGTCCGTCCGGGATCCTGAAGGCACTGGCATCACCACAAAGGAAGGTGTGCCAAGGTGCTGTCTTTCCATGGAGAGCAGTAAAGGCTAGGAACAGTGCAATATGAAGACGTCAAGAAGCAGTCAAGATTCATCACCGTACTGTTTTGCGTGCGCTGGCTGCTCTCAAAGACGGGTCGCCAGCTCGGCTAAATGGTGCCCTCGTTTGCCAAAATATAGCTATTCATTTGAGATATTGTACAAGTCATGTTTTGGGGATTGTAGCATCCATGTCGAGCGCTCATACCGCTTTTTATGGGAAATCCAAATTTTTGTTTGCCAAAAGGGTTCTTTGGTTGAAACTATCACCAGACATGGGATAGCCTGAATGGGCAAGGTCGGAAGGAATCGTATGGAAGAAGAGTCAAAGCCTCAAACTTGAGTTTCTGCAGGGTTTCAAAAGTAAATATTCAACTCAAACTAAAAATTTTAATGAAGTGATGTTTGTACACTGTAGTAGGTGTGTTCCTATGTGACGGAGGTCAAGTGACCAGAACAGCACCACAGATCGGAGGCTTTCTGGCGCAGGAAATAGTAGGTCACAGAATATGCTTCCATTCCTTAGTTTTGTTGACTAGGGATGTGTGAATACTCGACTATTTGAATATGGACGGAATGGTAAGTGCTGAATAGTTCGTTTCGCGAATTGAATTTCTTGTATTGTGTCAGTCGAATCTTGCCAATGTGTCCCAAGAGCACGGGTGTTCGCCAAACGTTTTCCAAGGTGAGGGAACTTCATTACCGTAAAAACTCGCGTATAATACGAGGTTCCTTTCTAATATTAGCATACCAAAATTTCGCCCTCGTATTATATTCGGGTCCCAAAATTTTTGGGGCTTATTTCGTGCACCCAGTTACGGTTTCGGTTTCAGAATATCGTGCAATAGAAACGCCTATCATCATCATCAGCAGCTGTCCTAAAAAAAAAAATAAAAAAAAAGAAGACATTTGCAACGAAATGTGACCATGTGACAACGCCATTTTGCGACAGTTGTGTACCATGTTCGCCAACCGACGCCAACTGACGAGCTTCATGATGCCAGCACCGCCAGCACCAAGAAAGCGGTACTCGGCCGCGTTTAAAAGGAAAGTTATTTTGGCCGCTGAGGCCGTTGGAAACAGCGCCGCTGGACGACGATTCGGCGTAAACGAAGGCAGCATCCGAGGCTGGCGGCGTCAAAAGGCCGCCCTTTTTGCGTGCAGCGGCACAAGAAGAAGTTTCCGGGGTCCGAAGCAAGGGGCCTTTCCAGATCTCGAGGAGCAGCTGGCTGCTTTCATGAAAGATCAGCGTGCACAGCATCTGGCTGTAAACATAGAGCTTCTTCAGCAGCTGGCGAGAGGAAAAGGCATCCTGCCGACGGATTTCAAAGCCAGCAAGCACTGGGTTTCTCGGTTTATGACCCGCGCTGGGTTCTCATTACGTCGGCGCACGTCAATATCGCAGAAGCTGCCTGAGCGGTATGAAGAGCTCCTCATCTCGTTCCAGCGCCATATTTTGTCCCTACGGAAGGCTACGAAGTTTCAACTGGGCCAGATTGGCAACGCCGATCAAACGCCAGTGTACCTGGATATGCCGTCGGTGTTCACTGTGCACGAGAAGGGCTCTCGTCAGGTTTGTGTGCGGACTACCGGCAACGAGAAGACTCGGGTCACCGTCATGCTGGGTTGTACGGCGGACGGACGCAAGCTACCGCCATACGTCGTGTTTAAAAGGAAGACCCTGCCAAAGAATGAGAAGTTTCCTAGGAGCGTCATTGTGAGGTGCCAGGACAAAGAATGGATGGATGAGACCCTCGTACTTGACTGGGTTAAGTCAGTCTGGTGTCGGTGGCCGGGAGCGCTGCTTTCGTTTCCGTCTATCCTTGTGTTAGACGTGTTTCGGTGCCACCTTGTAGAGTCGGTGAAGCGACTGCTGCGCGAATCCGGCACTGAACTCATTGTTATCCCGGGAGGTATGACATCTCAATTACAACCGCTTGACGTCTGCATAAACAAGCCTTTCAAGGACCGTGTCCGGCAAAACTACGTGGAGTGGATGAGCTCGGGAGAGCCCGCGGTGACCCCCACTGGACGGCTTAAACGGGCTTCCCCGGCTACGCTATGCCACTGGATCGCGGACGCTTGGGCCACCATTCCCGAAGACTTGATCGTTCGCGCGTTCAAAAAATGTGGCATATCAAACGCACTGGACGGCACGGAGGATGACTGTCTGTGGGAAGAGATGTCGGACAAGGCGTCGTCCGAGTCGTCCGAGGAGAGCGATAGCGATGAATGAGCGCATGGCGCTAATAAAGGTTCTCGATGCAGGTACCTTTTGGTCGTATTACACGCGGATGAAAACTTTTTTTTTCTTTTCGCGGTTCCAAAATCGCCCCTCGTATTATATTCGGGTTCGTATAATACGCGGGCTTTTACGGTAATTCCCGTATGCTTATTGTTAATGTAAAGCTTTGTAATTGTATACATTATCTAATCATCACAGATCCATCGAGAGTTTCACCGCTTGACAAAGCATGACACCCCAATTGAGCTGGAGGCAGCAGTAAAAAAATTGTGGAAAGAGGGTGATCAACCCAGCAGGAAACAAAATGCAGCAACAAGGCTCCCATCGATGAGCTTCATGAACGTCTCAAGGCACTGCCAGAGGTGGAGAGAAACAGTAAAGAGCTTTGTAAAAGCTTGGTCTGCTGGGCAAGTTGGTAGTGGACATTCATATAAAAAATAGCGCAAAAGAGACGGGACAAAAAGACGAAGAAGCACACAGGACAAACGCTTGTCCTGTGTGCTTCTTCGTCTTTTTGTCCCGTCTCTTTTGCGCTATGTTTAATATGAAGTAAACAGCTTCAATAGGTTTTCCTATTCTGATTAGCCTGCTTATGGTGCTCGGAAGTTGGAGTGCATCTCTTGAGCGGTGTGCATAGCTCTCTCTGAAATCCATGACTTAAATTGTCCCTTAAAGAGAGACAAAATACATCCTAAGGTCTTCCAGGTGTCAGTAACAAGCCACACTGCAAAATGCAGTACCTTCTCTCTGCAGTGCCACCACCCTGACTGTGATTAGGTTCGGATAAACTCACCAGTTGAGAATGCATTCCAGGCATTGGAGTTTGGTGACAAACTCCAATGCCTGGAATGCATTTTTGAGTTCTTAATGAGGCCAAAGAGACTTGGTCTCATTAAGAAGGGACAGATGTGAACTGCTTATGTAGTAGCACCACCTAGCGGCATTATAATATCATGTTTCGCCAAAGTCAAGCCTGACCAGTTTTTCTTTTTTCTTTTGGCACGCTTTGCCATTCCACGCCTCCAGCATATGCGACTTGTTTATCTTAATAGCAGTTAATAGAGTTCCAGTTTATGTTTTTATTAACTTGCCTCACCCCAGCTCGTTGCCCAGGAGCCACTCTAAGCCAAAGACCAGCCCTAGAGCTCACAACATCAAGAAGTTTGGCCTCTCCAGCATTATTTCTGTGCTCAGCTACCTTAAGATTCTGTAAAAACACCACCAAAAATGAAGAGGTAAATGGTAAAAAATATAAGGTGGATGATATTTGGGGATGCAACAGCAAAAGTTTACCAAAAATCAGCGATAAACACCGGGTCACCCGCTACAAAGTACAAGAAGCAAGAATTGATACCGCAGATCACAGATACGGCAAATAAACCTTCTGCTCAGTTATCCAAGCACCAAGGAAGGTGCCGCAACGTGTCACTGACGCTCTACAGGAGAGTCACCAGGAGCACAGCTATTCACAGTACCTCAGCATGGATGTGTTTCCAGAGGAACTGCCATTAGGTACCACCAGATGCTGTCCTTCCTGGTCCCTTGTGACTTGAAAGGCAAACCTGCAGGATCAATTCGCGTGTTGGGTGGATTGGAGGGGTTGAGGGGTTTGCCAGGAAGTTGAAATGCGCTCCGCTAGCAATTTAAGAAATAGCAGGCCTCATTAGCTCCCCAGCCACCAAACATAAGCCTGGCTCTTTTAACAGTACATACAGTCCTGAGAAAGCTGAGGTGCAAGCTCATAGCCTACAAGTTGCTTTATCATGCAGCAAGGAACATACCTGCTTTCAAATAGGTCTTGGCAGCATGAGCAAGTCAAAATGTCCGACCTACAAGTGCACTCCAGTAGTCTTGGTTCTACAGCTATTAAATAAGACGAAGCATTAGGTGCTTGCCCCAAACAATAATGATCCTCTGTTGGAGATACCACTTCATACGGTACAGACATCAATGTAATGTCTTGAAGCTCATCGTCCTCAGCAGTGCCGTACAGTAATTTGTGATCTTAAGTAATGTTCACACATCTGGCAGCTAAGTGTGCTGGGTAATCAAACCAGTAACACTAAATTGATTGACAAGCCTTTTGAGTCGGTCAGTCTCTGGTCAAGTGGTCAATCTGGTTAATAAAGGAGGCTGCAGTAACAGCTAAAGGTGAGAAAAAATTAACGACGTTTACAGTTCTCTGTAATCCTAAATTAAAGTGCAGCTCTTGATGAGGAGGAGGGGAGGGTACGAAGGGGAGTGTATGCCCTTGCTCGACCTCTCTTCCTCCTCCTCCTCTCCTGCTCTCCTCCCATTCAGCGGAAAATTTTCGCTAAAGTTTCGCAAAAACTTTATTAACATTTTTTTTGCTATATTTAGCAGGGAAACTGAACTGGTATTGTGCTGTCATGACGATGCCCAACAGTAAAAAGCACTATAGCCTCAGGGCAATCAAGTTTCGTGTGACATGTTGTACCTCCTAGCCCAAAATATTTGCAATAGTGGGAAAACCCTTTTGTCAGCCTGCTTGCTCGTGGGGCTGCTCATGCATGAATTTGAGGGTGTTGATTCGAGAGGCTTTGGTATTTTATTCTTAACATTGTTCCACAAAAGAGTAAACCTCAAAGCTGTAGGCAGTGTTGCGCTCTGGACTGTCGCATTTGCAAAAGCTTAGCAAGCGTGAAGTTCCGCAGGTTCCAGTCGAAGACATGGGAAATACAATGCGATCAGGGACGAATAAATGCCGTAAATTGTGCAAAACATAAACAATCCGTTCACATTACATGACTCGAGACATATTTCTAATTGTACTATTTGACTAGATATTTGGAATTTGTGGGGTCAAAGAGCGCATTAGACTCATTCCTCATTGAGGTAATGACATCGAGGTTCTCGGCTTGGTCACTCGGGTGTGGTTTTCTCGATCTTTTTCTCATTTTTATGAAAATAAATGTAACTTTCACTCATACCTTCAGACGTGGAAGTGTTTTGATGGGCAAAATGCTGCAGTTCCTTGGTGCATGGGAGGCCCATGCCAGAAAACTGGGCTTTCTGAGCAAGAGCACAGCAGAAGGGCTCCGTGTCAGCCTGCACGCCACGAAAGGCCGCCTGATGTAGTTACAAAGCTATGCTGTATGTTAATTCATTCTTGAGATAGTCTGTTTTGGAAACTGCTTTTGAAGAAGGCTCGAGCGCGCAAGGAACCGGCACGAGCGGCCGGAGCGACCGAGAGTCAGCAGACCGAACAGACTTGCCAGCCACGTGTGTCGGACGAGAAAAAAAGCCCCCGGTTTATTCAGCACATTGTTTAAATACACCATCGCAAAACCCGAAGGTGGTGCCACATTCAATCGCTACACTAGCATCGTCTACATCCCCCCCCTTCGGGAGCCCTATGCTTACAAAACTTGGAAGCTTAAACGAAAGCAAAACATGAGTAAGCTATGTACCGTAAAGTTGCCTTAAAATGAAACCTTTGGCATACTTTACGCACCCCAGTCTGTAAAGAGGAGCAATGCCTAAATACACAAGAGCAACAGAAATATGCTCAACATAGTAATGGTCTATGCACAGCAGAACAAAAAGAACATGCCCAACAAGTTCAGTCGTTTAGGGGTAATCACACGCCATCCATAATGGGAGTAGCGCAATCGTGAAGTCCCTGGAGAAGCTGGAGGTGCTCGCGGAGATGCAAGAGGTGCTCTGCCGCTGTCCTCTACAGCTTCAGCCATGCATAGTGAAATCGTAATCCTCCACCACGCTCCTTGTTGACAATTTGTGTGGCATTGTATACGTACCATGCTTGTTAGAAGGAAGAAGACTGCAAGATTGATCCGTAGCTGGCGCTTGTAAAATGTTCGACACCTCCAGTGTTGGATGACTGAAAAGATACAGAACTTTCAGGCATCAGAGAGAAGAGTGGATTTCCTATCTCATGACCTGCCGTCCGAGCCAAGGCTGCCTGAAGGGGTGCTTTGGCATTGCAAGATAGTCGTCCGGGACAAACGATCACCCGATTCCAGCCCAGTTGATTGTGGTGATAAGGTATAAAACTATATTTTTTAAGTATCATACTGTAATTCAATAAAAAGAGTAAATTACCGATGTCCTTGTCAAAATTTTGTGCACATTGCAGATGTCTGGCCTTCCATGGTTTGGCCGAGAGTCCCATAGGGGAAAATGTTGCACCTGATGTGCTCGAGTCCTTGCTTCTGTGAAAGAGGCACTACAAGACGACGACGAAAAAGTCGTGAAGATTTCAACCTCGGCCAAAGTCGTCGTTGATCACTTGGCCTATGTCATGCAGCACACTGTTTCTTGCCTCGTGTACTATATTGCAGGATATGTAGTAAAAATGATATTTCTCCAAAGCTCTTGTGAACCATGCAAGTTGCTGTGCTTCGTAAATAAGAATGTGCCTGCCAGCCTGCCAGCTGCAACATGTGTGGAGTGGGACCTTGGAGGACTCTTGTACTCCATCCAAGGTCTTGTGCCAACTCATTCAGGTGCTGGGGAACAAACTTACATGCACATTCAGCCCAGTAAAGTTCCACGCAAAGGTGGTTAACACAATCGTGCATGGCCTCAGCGGGTGCCAAGTGTAGGCTGCAGTGAACATTTCCTCGCTTTGACGAAGGCAATTGTCAAGTTCTACTCCAAGACAAGAGTTCACCTTTACCAAAGAAGAAAAAATCAAAAAGTGAAAACAAAAAGAAAAGAAAAAGAAATAAGCCACGTGTCCTCTAGGTACTCCAATGAAGGAGCATACATTGGGCCTATTTTGTAAATCAAATGCATCCTTGTTCAAATTTGCTGATACATCTTTTTAGCATGCAGGATGGTCAGGCTATCGTGATTATAACAGTGCGCTATTATTTGCATTTCTCGCCTCGTAGGCAGAGCTTGCGTTCTCCCACCTGATTATCTATTTAGGCAACTGTCACTCTTGGTGTGTCATAGAGCTTAAAGGGCCCATGAAACGATTTTTGGGTTGGGATAAATAATTTTAGATTGGGATTTTACTAATAGCACATTGTTTAGTGGGCCAAAAGAAAAAAGGTAGGAAGTCAAAAGCCTGTCTTTCAGTGCGAAAATTTGAAAACACAGCGGACTATTTCGTACCTTTTCCCCTTCGTAAACTCTCTGCCTTTTCACTGTGATACATCCGCGGTCCCAAAAGCGCGTCATCGGGTCCAAACTGACGTCACACGAAACCGGACCTCACTTATTCCCTTCACCCCTAAGCTGATATTGTGGTGGAAGCTACGCGCTTGCCGTAGCTTCCACCACAATATCAGAGAATGAGGTCATCACCTGACCTCATTCTCTGCAGCCACATTTGCCACGCTCACGCGGCAAGTGTGGCTGGCCCAACGAGCACGTAGCTTCTACAGCACTGTCAGCTTCGGGGTGAACAGGTTGGGGAAAGCAACTTTTGCCTGAATTTTGAGCGACGGGCTAATCTTCTAGGAAACAATGGCTCTGTCCAGTCCGGGTACACAATCCAGATTCCGAGCGAGAGGGGCCTCCCTTCTTTTCGTCTCCTTGAACTATTTGGTGGAATGCGTGAGTTATGAGTTGAGGAGGAAAGCTAAACAGGAAAAAGTTGAAAAAGCGTTTCATGACCCCTTTAATATATACCTACTACCCTGAAGAAGCTAGACCTCCTAGTGAAATGTCCCCCACTGCCGTCCATCAGTACTGCCACGGTGCTGGAGTACATCGCAGCTCTCAAGGACCTCGTCTTTGCCAGGGGACATTCGGAGAAACAAGTGAACCATCTAGATGGTCTCAAGAAGACTCTCGAGCGCACTACAGTGCGAAAGCAAGCAGCGATCACTCATTTCTTTCAATAAGGAGCTGCCGCACTGGAACTACCAAAACCAGCATTATTATTTATATTGAAGATGTTTTTAAAGGTAAGTCCAGATAAAACAAACTACTGATATAATGACCACTTTTCGCGGAACTATCATGTTCGTTATAAGTGGGTTTGACTGTATTTGTGGTTACCAAAAGCTTGAAACTCGCAGTTCATGACAAATGAAGTGCCAAACATGAAGGATTTGCTGAAAGGATCAAGGCTGCCATGACCTTGAAGCAAGCGGGCCTTCTGAATCGCCTGCAAAAGACCATCAATCAAGACGTTGAGACGAGGTGGAATTCGAAACTAGCCATGCTGAAATCGGTTCATGACCAGTACAAGAGCATCGAAGCAGTGCTGGACGAATGAGGTAGCCTCCTGATGGAGGGGATAAGCAAAATTAATCCAAAGCTGCTGATTGATTTTCTTCAGTCATTTAAGGATGCCAGGGATGCGATGGAAAAGGCGGCGGTTCCGACATGGCCATTGTTCATATTGCATTTGTACAAGCTGAAAAGGCACTTGGGCGCATCATGCCACCATACAATAACCTCACACAGGTCAAGAAGCAAGCTGCAGAATACCTCAAAGCAAAGTTTAAAGCTCACGACATCCACATGATTTCTGCATTTCTTTGGCGTCACCTTCTCATGCTTTCCGAGATTGATCGCCGTGAAGTCCTCAAGAATGTCGGGCAGTGATTACAATCAAATTTGACCTGCATGAGCCAAGATTCAGAGCTCCCAGGATCCCAACATACAAAGCAAGCAAACAAGACATCAAACGGCTTTCTTGAATGGGAAGATGTGCGACAATCGACTTGAAGTACAGAAGAATCTGATCAGCTTCAACGATATTTAAAAGCTGACTTTACAGACGTCAGTCAGAGCAAACTACTGCCTTTCTGGAAGTGATATCAGAGTGAATTTCCTGGACTCTCGAACTGCAAAGCAGCTACTTTGTGTGCCTGCCACAGGTGCTTCCAGTGAGAGGAACTTCAGTGCTGCTGGCTATCTCATCCAGGGAATAAGAACTCATCTAAGGTCAGATACAGTAAAATTCTTCTATTCTTGCAAAAAAAACCTCCAAAAGCTATAGCGCTACTGTGTGTGAATATGGGGGTTAGCCAAGTCTTGGAAAACATTTTGTGTCTGTTTCCTAAGAACACATTTTATTTTAAAGCCTCGTTTTATATTGAAGTGCCCGACTACCGAACTCACCGAGGGTTCTACCGCTGATTGGTTGAAAGTAGGAGTCTGGGCTAGTTGGTATGCAGACATAATTAAAAACAAAACAGCGCAAAGACGAGGGAAAAGTAAAAGGTAACCGACAGGACACAGCGCTGTGTTCTGTCGGTTACGTTTTACTATGTCCTTGTCTTTGCGCTGTTTTGTTTTTAATTATATCACTTGTTGCATTCAAAGTGTCTCCCATTGTTCCTTGTCAACAATGTTTCGCAATGCATTTTTAGGTGGCACCACATGTTCACTTTTAAGTAGGCTTTTCGTTTTCATATTCATTTAATACTACACTTTGTCTCACATTTAGAAAAGTTTAGTGTTTTTATTATATGATTCGTCCGATTTCAAAAAACAAGTCAAGGAGCGTTTGTCACGAGTGTTTTAATGGGCTTATATTTTACAGTAAACATATACAGTAAAGCCCGCTTATATCGAACACGGGTATATTGAATTATTGCCTGTATTGAACCCTTCTAGAATTCTGATAAAAATTCCATGCATTTTGAACTTTTTATATCAAACGCGATCTTGCTCATAATGGATATATCGAACTTTCCGCGCTGAATTTGGCGCGCTCCTCAGGCATGCGGCAGGCTTCCTCGCAATACGCCGGTGTATTGCGAGGAAGCTTCCGCATGCGAGGAAACCTGCCGCGCGCCAAGCGGTGGCGCGGCGGGCGCTTGCGATTCTAGAGTGCTTGACCAGTACTACGCGTGCATGCCGTTGGTGCCGGAAACACCACGTAGGGCACTGCGGTGTTGCCGATCCCCAAGTCCGCGACACCCGCTGCCCGCACTTGGTCGGATCGCTTCAATTTTGCTTGTCTTCTCCTGAATCCCAATCGTGATGGCTGTCGCTGCCAGCGTAAAGAAGAAACGGGTGACGCCGACGTTGAAACTGGAAATCATTAGGCTGGTAGAGAAGGGAAAAAAGAAGTCTAGTGTCGCCGAGACGTACAAGATTCCTCGAAGCACCTTGAGCTCTCTTCTCGAAAACGAGGCAGACATCAAGGCGAAAGCGGGACAAAGCAGGCACAACGCGTTCGAAATCCGACCTTCGAATACGTTGAAAAGGCACTTCACAAGTGGTTCATGCACGTCAGAGCCCGCAATATTCCCGTGTCCGGACCAATGTTGCAATCCAAGGCCAAGGACTTGGCATTTCTTCTCGGCGTCAAGAACTTCAAGGCAAGTGGCGGATGGCTACAGCGCTTCAAGGGCCACTACAACATCGTCGGGAAAGCCATCTCGGGAGAGAGCAAAGATGCGAACATCGATAGCATGAAGAAGCGGATCAAAGACGAGCGGCCACAGATCCTTGCCAAGTATGAGTCGAGGGATATTTTTAACGCTGACGAAACGGGCCTTTTCTAGCAAAGGCTGCCTAGGCAGACTCTCGACACCTGCGGTAACAAGTGCCATGGCGGCAAACAAAACAAGGCCCGCATTACAGTGCTCCTGACCACCAACATGGATGGCTCGACGAAACTGCCCCCCTTTGTTATCGGGAAAGCTAAAACGCCGCGGCGCATGAAGGACTGCCGCAACACTCCTGTGACGTACGAATGGAACAAAAAGGCCTGGATGACTCGAGACCTGTTCGGAAAATGGCCGACGGACTGGGACGCTCAGCTTGCGGATGAGGGCCGCAATGTGTGCCTGCTCGTTGATAACTGTACTGCACGCCACACGGACGTGCCGCTCAGCAACATCGAGCTGAAGTTCCTCCCACCCAACACGACAACGAGGCTACAGCCCCTAGACCAAGGCATAATCC